CAAAGTTTAATTTAAATATTTCAAGTAACAATTTTTTATGGTTTTAGTTTTAGTTACATCATATAACCATGGTTGTTATATTTATCATAGAATAAATGTAAGCATTTTTTTCACCCTGTGAGGTGTTGGTTGAACACCCATAAGCTAAATGTGTTTAGCATGTTAGTTTCAAAAATGAATGAAATACACATTGAAATTAGCTGATTGATTGGCTGAAAGATCATTTTACAAAACATTTGATTTTGATACAGGATGAGGGCCTTTTATTTAGTTAGTTTTTGTTGGTACACTGCAGGAGACTTCAGGGTTGTTGTTTTTTTTTTTTTGTTTTTTTTTGCAATGGACCTGAGAGTCATATCATTCGAAGCTTTTTGTGATCTAATAAGAATTCCTTGCATGCACAGTTGCTTCCCAGTCTGTTTTCTTTCATAGCCTGTGCTTCAGAATCCATTTAAAACCTGTACTGAAACCTGGTGTTGGTGTTTGAGTTGGGTGACCTAAAAACCGTCAGCAATTCCGCACCTCGAATAGAAGTGGAAATGCACTACTAAGCCCTCAGAGACTTGAAACACGTTTGAAAATCCTCCGTTTCTGAGGCGCTCCCAAACAGCCGTCATCCTCCATGGCAGGGAGTCAGACCTCGTGTTCAGTGTTCAGCCACAGGCCACCGCTGAGCCCCGTCAGACTGTAATTAAGCTGCAATTGTGACCCTTTAAACACAGTTATTTATGCATTCGTTTCACAATCTTGCAAGTAAGCAAACGAGAGAATCATTTAATCCCAGATTGCGGTGTTGATTGTCTCTCTGCAGTATAGGAGGGATTAAATGTTGCTCTTGTTTGCTTATTCAGCTGCAATAAAACCATTTGGGAACAATGTCAGTTCACAGATGGTTTATTGAAATGCAGCAAATGAAATGTGTAGGATATTGAGGGCTCTTTCCACCAATAAAAATGCTAATCTTCTTTAGTCAAGGGTGCCGATTCAAGATATTTATTTGTGATATCCCTCCGTCCTTGTAGATGAAGTTTGGGTGCAATAATGTCCCGTGAGGTTTCTGGGACAGAAAATAGACGATTCCACTTTGCTTTCTGCTGAAATATCCCCCAGACAGATTGCTGTCAGAAACCATAATGTCGTTGAAAGTGGGAGGACAAGGCGATGAAAATCCGCATCTCTGTTTTGTCTCTTCAAATCAGAGACTGCCAGATCATGGTGAATGTGACTGGAAGCAAGAAATAATTTATTTGGCAAAATCCGCCCCATATTCTCTGCCGAGGTTATCAGCGATATGACCTGCGGAGCGCTTTTCTGTGATCGTTCTTCATGTTTGATGAATCTCTGATGAACTCACCCCATTTCCAGCTGTATTATTTATGAATTTTCTAATGCAGCGTGTAGTTTCACCGCCATGTACTTTTAGCTATCATTAAATCACTCTAAATTCAGCTACAACTCCAGCAGAATTCCTTTCAATGCCTGTTTGTATGTATATCTGCGTGACGTGTAAGAAACAGAACATTGCGTTTCATAATAAAGTTTTGACCACCAGAGTCACACGGTTCTATTTTTTATATATATATATATTTTTTGTCTTTTTTTCCCCAGTTAAAATATATAAACATCCTTAAGATTTACTTAAGTGAAATTGCATCTCAGAAGATATCAATACTTGTTTTAGTGAATATATCTAATTTTAATAAATGTATTTAAAGTATTAAGAAATTATTTAATATATTTATAATATTTATTAAGATACATAAAAATTAAATAATTTATTTTAGTTTATTTTTCTTACCCCATTGGCAAATATTTTTTCATGTTGTAAGCATTAATGTAACAATTTCAAGAGGTTAATTAAAAAGAAAAAAAGGATGTTCTTACTGGAAAAACATTTTGCAGTGAATTTAGGTACAGTGCTAAACAGCTGCTGCTAGTAATCACACTTGTGTGAAGTGTAAATGTTTTTCTCCTCAAACCCTGTATGGAAACAGTTTGCGTCTAAAAGAGTTTTTACACTTCCAAGCAGATTTAATGTGTTTGATGTGCTTAAGTTTGACGTTGTTTTTTTCTGTCTCACTGTCAACAGAATCACATCACCTTCGCTGAGATCACGTGACCTTGAATCGCCAGTGTGGCAGACACATTGGACATCCACGCTGTTTACCGTCCAATCCCGATAGTCCCTGCTCAACGCTAGCGCAGTGGTCATATTCTCTATGGTCTCATTTTGGATCGCTCTGCCCTTGCTTTGTGTGTGTGGAAATATTGGTCCTGTCAACTAATAACAGTTACCATCACGCAACTTATGACTGAAGCTGCACTTCACATTTCCCTGACCGGTTCTGTTGGCATTCTTGCAGACCGAGCTCACATCTAGAGCTCAGAATATCTCAGCTGCTCGCATATGTGGAGAGCGTATGTGTCTGTGTTTGCATTTGAGAGGTTTATGGCAGGTTGATGCAAATACCTACCTATGGATTTCAAAATGGACTTAACTTGTAGTTGTGGATATGTGTGTTTTTTTGTCTTCGTATATTACAGAAAATGTTTATTCCTATATGAATTTGTTTCCCTTTTAGTGCTTGCATTAAAAGAGTGCAAACATATGGAAGCCTCTTTATGCCTCAGAGTTAAAAAAAAAAGATAATTGTGACACTATTTTTCATAATGTAACTTTTTCTCAAAGTGTGTCAGAAGTCTCGAATTGTGACTCATATTTAACTCACAATTGCAACTTTTCTAATAATTGTGAATTTATACCTCACTATATGACTTTATTTCTCTTAATTGCAACGTTATGGGCCCTATTTTACCGATCTAAGCGCATGGTCTAAAGCGCACGTCGCAATTGCGCTTAGGGCGTGTCCGAATCCACTTTTGCTAGTTTAAGGACGGGAAAAATGGTCTAAAAGGGTTGTCCCTATTCTCGTAATGAGTAATGGGTGTGTTTGGGCGTAACGTGCCATAAACCAATCAGAGTCTCATCTCCCATTCCCTTTAAAAGCCAGTTGCGCTCGCGCCATGGCGAATTCGCTATTTACATTGCGGAATTTGCGAGTGGAAAAACTGAACGCTTCTCTAGTGAGGGAACGGATCTGCTCGTGCGCGTAATTCTGATACATGCAAAGACTATCCATTATGACATGTGGGCAAATTTTTTATATTTTAATCCTTTAATTTTTCATTTTTAAAAATGTTTGTGTGCTGCTGCGCATGCCTGTGTGTGCAATAAGCAAAGTGTACGTGCGTTGTGCATCCGCCTATAGGCGCATATTACTAACGCGCTCTTTAAATAACAAACAAAAAAAATAAATAAATATTGCACCAGACTTTAGACCAGGTTTTTGTTGGTCAATGGCGTAGTCTTTTTCAGTTGCCTCAAAATAGCAATGCGCCTGAACACCTTGTTTTCAGACCAGCACGCCCATGGGCGCACAAATGGGCACAAATGCATTTGCTATTTAAACAATGTGGCGCAGGACGTGAAAATGACAACTGCGTCAGGCTGAAACTAGCAAAAAACACTTGCGTCGCGCCTGGTGCCGCATTGCGCCGGGTGTATGATAGGGCCCAATATCTCAAAATTGTGACATTCAACTTTTTTTCTTTAATTTTGACTTGATTTCATAACTGCAGTTTTATTTCTCATAATTGTGATTTTTAATATATCACAATGGCAAATGTATTTCTCTTAACTGTGATTGTATGTACCCGTTTCTCAAATTGTAACTATTTCTCATAATTGTGATTTTTATATCTCACAATATGACTTTATTTCTCATAACTGTAATTTTATCTCACAATATGAGTATTGTGAGAGTCACAATATGACTCTGAAGTTGGATTTTATATCTCACAATGTGATTTATTTCTCAAATATTGACTATTCTTGAGTTGTTTCTTTTATTGTTTTACTCTGAGGCAGAATTGGGCTTCCACACATACATAAATACACTGTGTCCAAAAAAATAAGGCAGAAAATAAGCTAAAAATACCTGTTGAAAGCTCACATAAAAAATAAAAAAAAATACCAAAGCTCGGATAAACTCAAGTACTCACCTACTGTACTGGCAGCAAAAAAAAAGCAGTTCCTGATCCATTGGTTAGATAATTCATGAGCCAGGTCTCAATTTCTCCCAATGGGCTTTCACTGTGAAGCTGTGTTAGAGTTTGAGTAGAAATTACCCAGCTGTGAAAGACAGATCATCTGCTAAGACAATCACCAGCCATCTAACTAGAATAATGAGTCAGTCCATCAGACACATCCATCTAACCAGTGTTCAACATAATGACACTCGCATGGACATTTGTTTCGCAACATTTGTTTTAATGGCCAGCACATCTTTCATTGAGGATTGATATTGTTAATGTTAAAGAGATAATGAGTCAGAAAGCCACCTCTCCTCCTGTGATCATTAAAAACAAACCGTGATACCTCATGTGTAATATTGTGGATATAAATTAGTCTCCTACATTAAGATGCAGTTGCTGCGCTAATTTATATTTCAGATCTCCGGCCCTGTGTTTCAGTCATGTCGTGGTGCCATTTAAAGAAATATTCTTGGTTGTGTCTTTAGCGTAATGACACTACCGTTCAAAATTTTGGGGTCAGTAAGATTTGATTTTTTTTTTATTAATACTTTTATTCAGCAAGGATACATTTAATTGATTAAAAGTGACAGTAAAGACATTTATAATGTTACAAAAGAATACTATTTCAAATAAGTGCTATTTATTAACTTTCTATTCCTCGAAGAATCCTGTAAAAAAGGACTGCATCACAACAATTAAGAAATGTTTCTTAAAGAAGCAAATCGGCATATTAGAATGATTTCAGAAGGATCATGTGACACTGGAGTAATGATGCTGAAAATTCAGCTTTGCATCACAGAAATAAATTATGGTTTCAAATATATTGAAATAGGAAACGGTTATTTTAAATAGTAATACGATGTTGACAATTATTACAGTTTTACTGTATTTTTCATCAAATAAATTCAGCCCTAGAGAACATACGAGAAAGAAAAACATTAAAAAATCTTATTGACCTCAAACCTTTGAATGGTAGTGTATTTTATCCACAAGGTCATATCATAGTCTCATCTGTTAGCATGATAATATTCTTCAAGAAAAAAATTGTAATTTTCTGGCCTGGAGGTCCTATACAAAAAATAACCCAGAATATTCTTTTAGAGGTTTTAGCCTTTTGGTGCTTCATAAAATATATGGTTCCCCTTGTATAGTACAATGTCCTGCTGATGTGACCAATCCTGAAGAGCAATAATGTGATACTTCATATCTCATGAGAAAATTCCCATTTGGCTTCCCCTCAAGTGAATTTAAGGGGGTCTGAATACTTTCCGTACCCACTGTATATAGACATATATAATATATTGGTGTGATAAATGGTATATTATTGCTTAAGCACTAATCACAGAAGTCTAGGATAGCTGCACTTTATAATGCAGAAAGAAAAAAAACATGCATAAAAATTCAAAATGAAAGCGATCAGCGCCTGCAGCAGTATTACAGTGAAAACTAACATGGTGTGTACAGTGTAAATGCACATGACTATAATTTTTGTCAGAGATTATCAATGTTTATTTTCTTATGTTTGTGCTGTACATGTATGTGTGGTTGGGGGTTTGTGGGTGTACGATGGCATACTGTAAGTACATATTGTACTGTATTTATCATTGATATTCTTTGAATCTTAGCTGTAGTATCACTCTGGTTTACGGTGTACCAAAAGGATGTTTTTTTAATCGTGCTTATATTTATTTTATGTTCTGTTTTATAGCTTGCACAGACATTTTGGCTGTTAAAAGATGTTCTTTCGACCTCAAAAGCTTTTTTAACTTCTGATTCCTATATTTTCTTCTGCCATCCCACCTCGAAAATCATTACGAAATGGTTTATTTGGATACAATAGATGGATTTCCTACCAAATTGATGTGAATCCATCTCTTTGAGTCCTTTTAGGGCTTTGAATTCATGACCTTTTACACTGTAGAGACGATGAAATTTAAAGTTTGAATAAAAAAAAAAATATTCTGAAGCCTGTGGTGTTTTCTTTGACAAGCACTTCACTGATGTGTATGGACTATAAAAGGAAGGACGTTTTATATTGAACGCATTTAAAGAGCCCTGTGGCATCTCTGGCCCCTGACCTGTGGAAAATTGGCTGGTTTGCTCTGGAGAACCTGTAAAATATGAGAGAAAGTGACGTGGTGCAGAGTTGGAGGGGATTCAGCGTTCTTCGGGCATCCTAACTGACACCGGATGTCCTGAGGAGCAACAAACAAGCAATCAGAAAAGATGGAGCGATTCGACCAGCTCACATTTATAACTGTCACTCAACAAGGTCAAAGTGGAAAGTCTCTATTTCTCATTCCTCCCTCCCCACATCACAAGGATTGATTCTTTTCCGAAGGGAAACATGTTCTCCTGCTTCTTATTTTCTCCGGTCTGACTGCTGTTAACTCTCCCGGTGAAGATTGAAACCACTGTCAAACAGGGCTTACAAAAGTCTTCTGATCTTTTGAGAGGTAAATCTAAAGCGAAAAATCTTTTATCATTGCTCAAAGTACTGTAATGCAGGGCATAAATATCACGCTATCAAAAGGCTCATTTAGCATGATTGGGCCACGTTAAGAGGGAAATTGACTTGATCTGGGCACTTCATGGTTCAGTAATGCCTGTTTGAAGTTAATCAGTTTGTTTAAACTAAACATGAAAATTTATCCTATTTGCTTTCTTATTACGCATTCCTGGTCTTTGTACATTTAGTCAGAGCAAGTTATTCTAAAGAAAAACAATTGAAAGCTTGAAAAAAAGCTTTTTTTCTCAAACAATGTTCCTTTTAGGAAATGTTATGTAATGTAGGTATAAATTCTGATGGGTAAAATCAAGTTTTGTTCAACTTTGAAATACATCACATTATGTAAGTAAAATAGATTATGCTTTTTGATATTATCTTTCAATGCTGCATGTCATTTTGCCTTTAAAACGCACCTTTTGTTTGTCAAAAAAATGCTAACAGAGTTTCTAGGACAGGAACTGCGCATGACAAAGTGTGTGTGTGTGTGCGTGTTTGTGTGTGTGTGTGTGTGTGTGTGTGTGTCTAGCTTCTGCCTAGAGTAACTAGTTGGGAAAATCTGTCGAGAGATACCAAGGTCACGCTTCACCCCAAAAGGAGCCTTAGAATTTTTTACATTGTGACACTGTTTTCAGAACAAATAAGTATATTTTTCCCTCCAAATTCTCATTACTGTAATGCCTTTGCCAAACGCATAAATGTAAACATGTAGTAAAATGAGCTTAATTGACCTGTAAATTCCTAATAGTTATTTTTTCTTTTGATTTTTGAGCTGAAATCATTTTTTAAAATTTTGAAATGTACACAGGGGTGTACATATTTGCCTTGACAATGATTTGCTTGTTTATATCATGAAATCTAAACTTATGGCATGCAGATTTTCTCCAAACTAACTTCACTTTTCTATACCAATTGTGTAATTACTTTTAAAAAGGTCATTTGTAATGGTTATGCAAAGTAGGTTCCACACAGTTATTGGCATATTTGGTTGATTTTTTACAAGAAATTAAAAGATTTTTATATTCAATTTGATCTAATTTTATATTTAATTCAGTTCAACAAAAGATGCATTGAATTTTCATTGTCGGCCTTATGCATTGTAATGCGCTGACATGTTTTTACACATTACTACAGCAGTGTTTAGCATGCACTCAAAAAACCAATGAAGTCTAAATTGCTCCTGTAATACTTTGCTGCTAACAATAGCTACCAGTCCGTGTCCCAGCATTCATCTGGAATCAGACAGAGGCTGATTGTGTAACAAAACCATTCATTTCTGTTTACCACGAAACAGGTCGATATCCTTATAAAACAATCAATCCGCACTGCAGGTTTCCCAGCGAGAAGCAGCAGCCTTATTGTGTTACGTATTGTTTTGATTCTCATTCAATTCACATGCTTGTAATAATTGGCCTTTGTGCTTTAAAGGCGAGAAGTTCAAGTCAGAACATCGATCAACTGATGTCACTGAGAAAGAAGTGGACAGAAAACAAATGCGGGAATCTCAAAAGCAGCTAAACGGAAGAGTTTGGCTTTTAGACCAAAAAGTCTGTCGTTTGAGAACATCAATCTTACCCCAATTGCATCTGAAAACTCTCTCTGCTGTCCTTGCTGTTTCCTGTCAAGGTCTCGCTGGTCTCCCCCTGGACTGTGTCTCAGGCATGGCTGGAAAGGGCTACAGAGACATCCATAGCGATTGTGTAGTGTTGACCGACTGTAGTAGCTATTGTGCAGGTCTTTGTGATTCACCAACGGTTTGAGCTTCAGTTCCCTATGGCTGCTTGTCCCTCTGTAACCTCTTACTCGTGCCAATCTCCGGATCACCACTCTGGGTCTGACTGCGGCCGGCAGGTCATTGGCGGGCGATGATGACCCGAGGTGGGCCGTCTTAGACAGGCGCTCATTGCACCATTCGATTTTCCGTCCAGATGCCTTTTTCCAAAGAACTTCAGGACTCCTTGTTTCATGGTTCGCAGAGATAAATCCCACACACCTCCAAGATGTGGTTTCCTCTGTCATTTCCTCATGAGATGATTCCGGAATCCACTCTATCATTGGCAGAATCCCACTCACCTCTACAATATGTACTTGCAGTGAGTTCTCACTGACAGTACTTTGTATCTGGGTCATTGAATCACTAGATACTCTGGGATTTATGGGTACACAGCTAGGGTCTGGTGCACTTGGTCTTTCAGTGGTAATGATCACGTCTGGGTTGGCAGATTTAGTGGGGACGCTACTGATTTGGGATGCTTTCCATCTTGAGTTTGCTTCATCTGATGCATCATTTGTTCTAGATGCGCATGACCTGGGCTGAGCAAATAAATGAGGAGACAAAATGATGTTCCTCTCATCCAAGTAACTGCACTTGTGCCTAACCTTCTGTTTGGCCTCCTGGTATCGGTGAAATGCATTATCATCTGCTAAAAAAAGCAGTAAAAACAGTAATATTGTGAAATATTATTACAGTTTAAAATGTCATTCATTTCTTTGATGTTAAAGCTGAATTTTCAGCATCATTACTCCAGTCTTCAGTGTCACATGATCCTTCAGAAATCATTCTAATATGCTGATTTGCTGCTCAAGAAACATTTCTTATTATTATCAATGATGAAAATGCTTTTGTTTTGTTTGTTTTTTAGTTCTAGGAGGTTTCTGTGCTTGTTCAAGCGATTTTATTGGGAATAAAATGTATTATCTGGACAATAGTTTATATTTCCCTCTTTCTTTCTTTTAATATTTTGTATATTTCCCTCATCATTCCCTCACTGTCTTTCTTGAGAGGAACAATTTTAGCAGTACTACAACATAATGAAGACGCACATCAGTTGATGCTTCATGTATTATATGATGTATTCAAGTCATGTTGGAAATATCATGTTTATGAGTTGAATGCCATCACAATATCAAAATGATGAGTGGAAAATTCTGTTTTCAGTCAGTGAAAAAAATAAACGTCTGAAACAATGGATGCAGCATTTGTAGTTGGCAGGAAATATGTTGAAATGTATGAACTTTTTTTCATTTACAATAAAACTAGCTAAATTGCATATATGATAATATTGTACAATTACAATTAAATATGTAATGATTCAGTTTACAGCACATTCATAAATTGATCAAAAACATAAAAATGACACCTTACGGTTTATTTATTTTGCAGAAGCAGAGTTAAAAAAACCTTGCATCTTGCTCTGACCAAAGTGATTTGAAAGCATTTGACTTCATAGCTTGTAAATATTAACTTCCCAGGATGACTTGAAAGCACCATTATCATTCTTAAGCTGCCACAGAGAATGATGGGAAATGTAGTTTGGTCACAATTCGGTGTCCTCATGAGTCAGCCAAATAGGAAGTGTTTTCTGGAAAGCTTTATTGCTATTCTTCACTGCTACCCCAATATAGACACAGTTAACTACACTAGCACTATTTGTGCTATTTATTATTGTTGCTAACAATCCTAGAAAAGAATAACTCTATAAGGAAAGGCTATTCTGATGATCCATTACCTGCTGCAACACACCTGCCGGTAATTTTGAAGTAATTCTATAAACCCTGATTTAGGGGCTGGAGCTAAACTGCATCATATTGATTCTACACCTGCATTAGAATATGCTGAGAAGATCTAATGTCTGCTTTCGGAGCAAGTATATATCCTCACAGGATATTTGGGTAAATATAAACATTCCTACTTAGACTGTTTAACAAGGTTATGTCTATATCAGAGATGTTAAACCCTCCCTCTTTCTTGTCCATGGGGCTTCATTGCAAATGCTCTGAAGTCTAAGCCCTGTTAGGATGATGATTAATCACAGGTCCGGTTTTTAAATGTCAGGTCTGAGCCCAGCGTGGCCTGGCTCTGATCGATGTCCCACTCTATGGCTATCTTTCAGAAAGCTACACTGACGCCGTGGGACTCGCTATGACTCACCGTTTGCTCCAGAGAAGGTGAGTGGTGGAGAGTTTAAATGCAAATGTCTTCAACATCTAACCTCAGGAGAGCAGAGAGACATACTGGGGTCCAAATTCTGAGACAACTAGTGAATTTTCCATTATTTACCTATTTAATACAGATTAATATTACGTATTGCTGTAATGTAATACTGTAATACCATGCTGAAATTTTTCTATATTTAATGAATTTTAGAATATCTTCATATTTTTGTCCTTATTTTGCTTTAATGACAACATCACTCAAGCTCCATGAACTCCACAAGTTAAACCTGATGATAATGTTATCCGGAATGACTTGAAAGTGATCCAGAAAGAATCTTGTGCTTTCAATAAAAGCAAGAACATCTAAGTAAAGAGTCCAAGGTTGGCATGCCCAAGAAATAATGCAGAATCTTACACTTCTTGTTTTGTTTTTTTTCACTGTGGTCTCAAGCTAGGTTCAGAGTAAACAACATCTGACTGATATTTGCTTCTGTGAGACCTCTGCATAATATGCAGTATGAGTAATTTTCTGTTATTTTTCAGCATTTTGAGAAGATGCCAAATACTGGAGTTTGGGGAAAATATCCAAGATATGCACTATTCTAAGCTTTGATGTTCCTCAACAACTTGTTCCTCAACAACTTGAATGTTTTCACAGAAAAATTATGATTGATTAATAAGTGAAGTGCAAAAAGTGCGCACATATGCTAAAATCACCAAGAGTAACCTTAGAATTTAAGCAATTTTTTTGTTTGTAAGAAATTATAAAATAAATACAAAGTTCTGTCATGAACCTGTGGCGCAGGCCAAAGAGGTTCTAACTCAATCTGATATAATTACACAATTATTCACGTGGCACAGCTGATTGGCTTTAGTTGCATCAGCAGCCAATGAGCTTGCTGCTCAACATTCAAATACTCGGCTAGTGTTCGCTGTAGCAGTTGCAGCACACATCAGAAACCCTCCACCTTCCCCAGCTCCACCTGTATAGATCTGCTATGGGGATAAATTCATGTTATTTATGGGAGTTATTTCATATGTTATATGCGCAGCAGCACTATTTCTTACATGCTCACAGCAGCTTGTCTGTGGATGTATTGGTTGTAGCAATCTAGGTGCTTGCTCTCTGCCAAGACCAAACACATTAACATTGCCATCTATATTATGCTAAACTCTCTGAGACTTGTCATGAAAGAAATACAGTTAAGTAAAATAATACTATTCATTATTTCAGAAAAAATTACATGGGGAAAAAAAAGTAGCCTGTACAGGCTTATGCAGAGTTTGCATGGAAAGCCCTTATATGGACATGCCCTGGGAGTGTTTTATGCAAATTACTAGTTGCAGAGACACCTGCCCTCATTTACAATAATCCAGATTCATCAACGATAAATGATGACAAGAACACATTTCTGTGTACACGTGGCTGTTGTGAATCCCTCAGAGATTTAGTGGGAGAACATTTTCTGTGCACCTATGCAATATGTGTGAAATTATTAGTGAACAAGGCCCGATGTTACAATTAAAGAAATAGTTCACCCAAAAATCAAAATTGTAGATGATGTAGTTGAGTTTATTTCTTCATCTGAACTGATTTAGAGAAATTTAGCATTACTGTACATCACTTGCTCATCAATGGATCCTCTGCAGTGAATGGGTGCCATCAGTATGAGAGTCCAAACAGCTGATAGAAACATTACAATAATCCACACTACAAGAATTAACAATTTGTGCAGTAAAAAGTTGCGTGTTTGTAATAGACAAATTAATCGTTAACATTTTTAACATCAAACCATTGCTTCTGGCTAAAATGCAAGTCCTCTGTCCATAATATTGCTTTCTCCAGTGAAAAAATCTGAAGTCTAAATCAGGAGAGCAATATGCACAGATCAAGCACTGTTACAAAGCAAAACACTTCTAAAATAAATTGGTGGATTTTGATGTGAGAAGACAACAAGTGATGGCCTTTTTCACTGGAGGAAGCATTATTATGGATTATGAACTGGTATTTTTCCCAGAAGTGATGGTTTAAATTTAAAACATCTTGATGAAGTTTTTTGCTTACGATATTAATTGATGGACTGGAGTCGTGTGGATGTTATGATGTTTTTATCAGCTGTTTGGCCTCTCATTCTGACGGCACCCATTCACTGCAGAAGATCCATTGGTGAGCAAGTGCTATATATTAATGCAAAATTTCTCCAAATCGGAGTAAATATTCAGCAAATTTTCATCTTTGAGTGAATTATTCCTTTTTATCTTTGACCGAGAAAATGTCAAAGCAAGAAAGGTCCATTGCGGTGAGTTGGGTTGGTAATTGTATCAGTTGCAATAATTCTATATTGTTTGAGCACATATGACTCAGTACCAGAGTGTTGTTGTGAGTGAAGTGTCATTTGCGTATCTAACAGTCAGTGGTGGTCTTGACTCACTCGGTGCCCTTGTTGAGCTCCAACATGAGGCTGCTTAGAAGTTGCTCAGAAAAAATGACATGCTAAGTTAATTTAAAAAAAAATATGGACAAGTGGAACAGAGAACAGGTGTAATGCTGTAAAAAATACTGTGGCTATACACAGCTAGCCTCAAGATGACAAGTGCCCTCTAAAACCAGTAAATCAGACCAATCTAGACTGCTTAGGGTATTTTAGAGCTGAACTTTGTGTTAGCAATGTTATTACTTTCATAAATTTTATAAATGTTATTTATTGGTAATGTGATTGCATATTGTGATGCATTTATCATATACTGTACATTCTTGTATTTTATGTGTGTGTGTGTGTGTATATATATACTGTATATATACTGTATATATATACTGTATATATATATATATATATATATATATATATCTCAAATTCTTCCAACACTAAATCATTACGCTATATTCAAAGTTGATACTTATTAAAAAAAAGTCTCCTGAGCTACTAAAATGCAACATTTGGGTAATAAAATACAATTTCAGAGATCTGCTAACTGAACTGAATCACAGTTTTAAATAGTTTATTGTATGTTGATGAAGTTGCGTACATTTTGTATCTTGATTTATATAAATGTGTGCCAAGTATCCCATTACTCCAAGCCTGGTTATTGGCTTTTCAAAAACTGCTTTAGCAACAAATTTTCACCATCCAGTCAAAACAATAGTTAAAAGGTCAAACAAACATAATAACCAGTCAAAACAGAAAAACATTTGCAAATTAAGCATCTGGCCTCATGTCTCCATGTGCAGAGAAACCTCTACATGCTGAGTGATTGGCAGGAAGTTGCGCCTTTCAGTCCCGATACACACTGCGAGGTGATTTTGAGGCATGCTGGGTAGCAAGCTAGACCCAGTAGCAGACAAATGTTTGCGCCGCACATAATGGATGCCTCCAGATCCCCACAAGGAATTTCCCATAGCAGCAGGTGAAAGCAACTGTAGTTAGATGCAGGTCGCTCACAGGAAAATGCCAGCGTCGTCCATTATCTCATCTACTGCTGCTTGAACTAAACCATGTTTAAGGGAACGCAGTGGGACTGTCACTCAGGACTCTGATTAGGACTCTGATGTGGCATTAGAGCCATTTCAGAGAGTGTATTGATTTTTCTTTGGCAGCAGTTTACTCTTTCCAACTAGATTCATTACAGTGTAAGCCATTACTTGCAAAGATTCCCTGACTGAATATGAATTTGTTCAATTGCTTACTGCTGATTCCGCCATCCGTGTCGGAACACTCCCAAGCACAGCATAGATCCTGCTTCTCGCCTTTTCTGTGGAAAAATGTTTGAATTAAATGCATAAAAGAACAGAATTATATATATATTATATAATATATTCATAATTCATATTCATCAATATATATATTAGAAATGTAACTTTTATTCTATTTTCAATTTATATTATTTATAAATTACATTTCTATTTCAGTAAAGTAATATAATTAAAATAATATATATTTCTTTTAAAATATACATTAATGAAATCCACAATATTATCCATAAATTCATGTTGCTATATATTGCTATATAAAATTATATCTAATTTTTATATATAACTTGGATAGATATTGGAGATTTGCTAACTGAATTAAACCACAGCGAAGTCAAAAATGAAACTCTATTTCCACAGAAAGGACTAACAGAGACTTTTTACAAAGCAGCAGTTAGTGTGTTGTATTCTTCATATTGGTTGGTGCTGAATTGTTTCTGATGTGATGGCAACAGGCAGGACAATAGAAGCTCTTCACTATAGCAAAACAACATCAGTTCCTAGTAGGCAATCAAATGAATGGAGCTTCCAATGCAAACAGATTCCCTGTGAATGTTCCTGTAGCTCATCATACCTCTCATCTGATAGAGAATGACTCTATAGCCCAGGACCAATGAGTCATGGAAGTCCATAATTTATTCCTGGTTATTGTTTTCCATTACCATCACCTAATATCAGTGCCACTCACAAACCATCTCTAACATCTCTAAAGCACACTTTTTGTGAAAGCGTAATGCAGAAGCGAAACAAAGTGTAATTTTCTCTGTTCCAGCCCTGTGTTCATTGCAGCAAACAATAGAAATGGCTTGTTTTGATGGTGTGAGAACTCTTCATCCCTTCAGCAGATTGTGTGCAACAGTGAGAGAGCGAGAGCAAAGCCAACTCAAAATTGTAAGATATAAAGTTACAATTAAATTTTTTTTTTTTTGTAAGTAGAAATGAGCTTCCATAACAGAGAGAACTGAAAACTAAACTTTTAGATTTAGCTATTTACAACATCTAAAGAAGCCTGTTTCTACCTCAGAGTAAAAAATAAAATTTGAGATATTTATCATGTGTTGTTTATATATGTAAATCCTGAAACAGACATGTATTATATCTAATACACGTGTATTTGAATTTTTATTATTATTAACATTTCATTACACCAAATACACAAAATAATGTTCTTTTTAGCAACATCATATGACCCCTTTAATAAAACAAAGCGATTTGGTAATAGTTCACCCAAAAAATCCTTTTTTTTTTTTTACTTTTTTTTTTATTTCTTGGAACACAAAAATCTATATTATGCATTTCTGAGCTGCTCTTTTCCATATAAATAAAATCATGTAGTGATCATGACATTATTCCGCATGACTTGTGGACCATATCGTCTTCTGAAGTCATATGAGTTTATAATGACATGAGGGTGACTAAATGACAGAATTCAAAGTTTTTGGGGTGAACTACAAATATTGATTAAAATTTAGGAAGCATAATAGTCAAAAGAAGCTAATAACTGTACCTTTTAGTTTTCGGTTTATTTTCTGTGAGCTGCATGTTGGCACACGTTTGTCTCGTGGTCTCTTCTGAACGCTTTGACATGGTCATGTTCACACACAATGCTATAATTACACACGAGAGACAACAGTAACCAGGAACTTGGACAGACTTCAGTAACTGGTCAAGGTGATGTATGACAGCGGCCTTCCCACTGCCAACAGCTGACACCTGAACAAAACTTACCAAAAATATTACTGTATAGCTGCTCTTAATGTATGAATGTATTTTATTTCTTCTAAAGAGTTTGAGGAGAAACATCGAAGGCAAATGAGAACTCCATTACGCTTTTTAGCTTTAAAATGGCAGTATTTGAAATCTTGCTCTGGCAGTTTCTCTTTAGTCACACTGTGCTGGAAGATGCTGAAAGGAACCGATAGAAGCTTCCCTGAGGCTGTCTGATCCATCTGGTCACTCAGGCATTCATGTACTTCCCTTCTCCAAGTCTCCATGAGGAAAGCCCAGAGTAGAGCTGCTTTCTGCCAGCCAGGCTCAGACGCTCGAGTCAGGGAACAGCTGCTGCTGATGGCAGGGAAAAATGAAAGCGCTTCGTTTGCTTTTACATTCGTAGTGTACTTACTCTTAAACCAAATAGCAAATTCATATTGCTGTGGAGACACTAACGCATGCACTTCTGCCAGAGACAATAGTGATTAACTCTGCGGGTGTGTAACTTGAGCACGTTTGGTAAAAGTGTTGGGTCTTGGATTGGGACAAGTCTGGGCTTGGTTTTCCTCTTTCCATTCCAGGCTTCTGGAGTATTCATGTCCACATGGATAGACTTCAGTGGTCCAGGGAGAGGGGTCTGATAATGAAACTGAATGGACTTGAAAAACTTTGAGATATCAACTGATTATCTCTCAAAATGATCTTTCACAGATGCTTAAAAGGTGACTTAAGTAAAGACAAGCAGAAGTAGTGCTGTGTTGGCCAAATTCACCAGATCACCATTTCAACTTTGAGACACAGCTAATGCTTTTGTTTCACTAAAAAGAACCGGTTCATATGAGTCATTTGTTCATGAATCAGGCTACATTGGTTGCACTGTATGCTTCTGATTCACTAAAAAGAACCTGTTCATTAGAGTCATTTGTTTGTGAATCAGGCTACATTGTTTATACTCTATGCTTCTGATTCACTAAAAAGAACCATTCATAAGTCATTTGTTTGTGAATCAGGCTACATTGGTTGCACTGTGTGCTTTTGGTTTACTAAAAATAACCTGCATGTTTATCAGAGTCATTTGTTTGTGAATCACTCTACTTTGTTTATACTGTATGCTTCTGATTCACTAAAAAGAACCTGTTCATAAGAGTCATTTGTTTGTGAATCAGGCTACATTGGTTGCACTGTATGCTTCTGATTCACTAAAAAAGAACCTGTTCATAAGAGTAATTTGTATATGAATCAGGCTACATTGTTTATACTCTATGCTTCTGATTCACTAAAAAGAACCATTCATATGGAATTTGTTTGTGAATCAGGCTACATTCTTTACACTGTATGCTTCTGATTCAGTAAAAAGAACCATTCATATGGAATTTGTTTGTGAATCAGGCTACATTGGCTGCACTGTATGCTTCTGATTCACTATAAAGAACCTGTTCATTAGAGTCATTTGTATATGAATCAGGCTACATTGTTTATACTCTATGCTTCTGATTCACTAAAAAGAACCATTCATAAGTCATTTGTTTGTGAATCAGGCTACGTTGTTTACACTGTATGCTTCTGATTCACTAAAATAACTTGTTCATTAGAGTCATTTGTTCATAAATCAGGCTATATTTGTTGCACTGTATGCTTTTGATTCACTACCAAAAAACGTGTTCTCAAGTCATTTGTTCGTGAATTGTTCTACACTAATTGGGCTACAATGTTATGTCACTAAAAAGAACATGCTAGTCAGGCTACATTGGTTGCACTGTAAACTTTTGATTCACTAAAAAGGACCGGTTCATGAGAGTCATTTGTTTGTGAATCATACCACATTGAATGTGCTTTGTTTTTGTTTCACTAAAAATAACTAGTTCATAAGTAATTTGTTTGTGAATCAGATACTGGCTGTGCTGTATGCATTTCATTTACTAAAAAGAACCTGTCACAAATCACATTTATTTGTGGGTGATTGTACTATGTTTTTTATTTACTAAAATTACCCGTTCATAAAAGTCATTTGTTCATGAATCATACAATATTGGTTGAACTATGTTTTTGTTTTACTAAAAAGAACCAGTTCAGAGAAGACACTAGAATTAACCCTAAAGTACACCATTTTACTTTGCGTTTAATCAACTCCTCTAATAAATAAGGCAATAATTTATTGCACAGATTGATTAAAGAGCATTTTAATGTTTCATGTGATCAAGCTGTGATGGTAACCCAGTTTAGGATCCAGCATACCGAACTATTTGCTTATTTTCCCTTGAGAGAGAATAAAAACACACACCACAAGACTTCTTTCAATCAACTTTTCAATAACAATTTTCATTACAACTATTCCAAGAATACATAGATAGTTCCATGACATTAAATTCACTTATGATCTGTAAAAGCGTACTTTTAAATCAGTTTGCAATTTATTACACTTTATGATATTAGTGCACCGCATTCAAAATCATATTGAAGTATCTAAAACGATGCGTTTCATATTCAAAGGCAACAGGTAAATTCTTTTGATTTCTGCACTTCAATAACATGTAAACAATTCTGGAATGTCAGCATCTTCTTCAATATATGATGTTTGCATAAAGATGCAGCTTCAGTAACCTGAATGGAATAGCACAACGATAACTTGAGTCCAATGCAAGAAATGAATCGAGTGCATTTATATTTATTTCTACACTAATCGAATGTTTTTTGCAGCTCTGATAAGAGGTAAACAGCATTTGCATTGAACAATAAAGCCATGTGTGCATCTTCATTTTCCAGGGAATGTATTTATATAAATGAAAAAGAAAAATAGTTTTCAGTATAAAAGATTTGGCAATATAATTTTCCTCCATTATCAAAAAAAATAAATTTCAAATGTGGGCCAAATGTACTGACAGAGAAATGTAATTGCAATCTCTCTGGGTGAGCTGGTGAATGCTGGGAGATGTTTGTACAGAGCGACTGTCCCTCTCTTTGGTGCCTCAGTCTCTAAATATGAATATTATTGGTTTCTGCAGGAATAAAAGCGTCTTTGGTGGTCCCGTTCAGCTAAAAGCACCTTGAGAGATTAGGAAAAGTCAACATTTCCATTTCCTTCAGCATCGGTCCTTTGAGACTGCAAGAATGACTCCCATACAGCCAAACACTGCAAGAGAACACAGACACACTTATATTTTAAAAAAGCCATTGGAAGTAATGTAATAAATATAATACATGTAATATAATAAATCATTTAAATAATTTTTTTAAAAATTTAAATTATACAATTTTAAATATCTAAATTATACAATATATATTTAAAAATATAATAATTTTAAAATATACATTTACATTTTTTTATATACTAATATACTAAATATACTAATAATAATGTAACTACTACAACTATGAAAATATACATTATAATTATAATATATAAATATTATAA